AAGGCAGCGGCAGAGATGATCTCCCAAGCGAAATGCTGAGGGAGGGTGGCGTTTGTGCACAGACTGCCCTATATGACATCATAACAACAGTCTGGACCACTGGACGGGTTCCACAGGACTGGAAGGATGCCCTGGTGGTCCGCCTCTTCAAGAAGGGTGACCGCACAGACTGTAACAACTACAGGGGCATCTCACTCCTCAGTGTGAGGCCGGGAAAGGTCCTGGCAAGGATTATTCAACATCGCCTCGCCAGGCACGCTGAGGAGAGGCTTGCGGAGCCCCAGTGCGGTTTCAGGAAAGGGCTGGTCCTACACAGATGCCACATTTTCTGTCCGTCTGCTACAGCAGAGGTGTAGGGAATTCCAACAAGACGTACATACAGTCACACCTCGGTATACGACCGCTTTGGAATACGTCGAATTTGGTACACGTCGCGTTTTGACAAGAAAAAAATGTCTTGGGATACGAGGCGCTTGCTAGAACTTGTATGGGTCAGGATGAGTCACGGCGTACCCACGTAGACCCCGATCACGACTCAGACAAAGCGCCGCTCCTCAGTCTGCCTGTAGATCTCGTTCAGTGCACGACCCTTGCTAACAGGTCCCTGCAGGGTGGGCTGGTAGGAACATTGGAATTTTTTTTTACACCCAACAGCACGAAATTTCACTTCGTTAAAGTATTGAAAGGGGACGGACGGACGGACACATTAATCTATTGCAGGCTGGTACACTCAGTTTACAACTACGTTCCTACCAGTATAACTCGTAGGCTATCAACTCCTCTCAGCAAGGTAAAGTGACGTTACGTTTAATTTTTATTTCAAATTTATTTTAATTTATTCACGCATTTTATTTTAATGCATGCATGCATTTTAGTAATAATAAGTAGTGTCTAAGTTACGTTACACAACCACATTAATGTATATGCCAGATAAAATATCATTTCTTATACTCTGTGACGGATTATTTACTTTCCCTTTATTGCTAATGGGGAAAATTCGTTTGGTATTCGTCACTTCCGGTATAAGTCCTCCTACCTTCTGGAACGAATTAACGACGTGTACCGAGATACCACTGTATCTGCTTTCTTGACCTGGTCAAGGCCTATGATACCATCAGTAGGCCTGGGCTCTGGGTCGTTCTTCGTGCTTTCAGAGTCCCTGACGATCATTAAGGACCTTCATGATGGTGAGCGGGCCCGGGTAAAACTACGAGCCATTCCCTGTACACCTTGGGGTGCGACAGGGATGTCCTCTGGCTCTCACATTATTTAACATCTATTTCGACCATGTAGTTCGTGAAACCTTCAATAGCTGTACCGGTGGAATTTCCATCTGGTACAGATACAATGGGAGGCTGATCGATGCCCGGGTGCGGTCAAAGGATGGCTCCCTATTGCTCAACCACGTTATGTATGCCGATGATCTGGTGATTGCTGCTCACTCTGAGGAGGAGTTGGAGACGCTGCTGCTGAACCTGGAGCATGCCACTAAGAGGTGGGGCCTTACCATCAGCCCCACCAAAACTAAGCACATGCCTGGGTGTTTTGTACCATCGGACACTCCACCCCCACAACTCCCAATCGGTGATGGGGCAGTTGTGGAGAGAGTGGAGAGTTTCTCATACCTGGGCAGTGTGCTTATGACTGGCTCCAGTTTAACAGCAGAGGTCTCACTCCGAATCAGTCGAGCGACATTGTTTACATCGGTTGCGTAACGCTGTGTGGAAGCTACCTGGTCTGTCGCTCCGCACTAAGCTTCAGGTCTTCTCGGCCACGGTCATTCCCTCCCTTCTCTACGCTTGCGAAACGTGGACCCCCCTAATGGAACATCTTCGCCGGTTAGAAACATTTAGGCCGGCCCTGCATACGATCCATCCTGGGTTTAACCAGACTGGATTGTGTGAGGAGCTCACAAATCCTTGAAAGATCTGGGCAAGGTCCCCCCCCTCTCTCTCGTCACGTGCCCCCCCTCCTCTCTCTCGTCACGTGCCCCCCCTCTCTCGTCACGTGCCCCCCCCTCTCTCTCGTCACGTGCCCCCCTCCTCTCTCTCGTCACGTGCCCCCCCTCTCGTCACGTGCCCCCCCCTCTCTCGTCACGTGCCCTCCTCTCTCTCTCTCGTCACGTGCCCCCCCTCTCTCTCGTCACGTGCCCCCCCTCTCTCATCACGTGCCCCCCTCTCTCTCTCGTCACGTGCCCCCCCTCTCTCTCGTCACGTGCCCCCCCCCTCTCTCTCGTCACGTGCCCCCCCCTTTCTCTCTCGTCACGTGCCCCCCCTTCTATCGTCACGTGCCCCCCTCTCTCTCGTCACGTGCCCCCCTCTCTCTCGTCACGTGCCCCCTCTCTCGTCACGTGCCCCCCCCCTCCCCCTCGCGCTGGGCTGTGTCTATGGCGGGGGACCTTAAGGGGGAGTAACAAATCGCTCACCGACCAAACAACGACCCAACGTCCAGCTAACGTTCGCCCCCAGGGGCTGTTTGTGGTTTATTTTGTGCGCTCGCGCGCGCAGAGAGAGAGAGAGGGAGGAGAGAGGGGAGAGAGGGGGGCCAGAGATTCACACCACGCGGCAAAGACAAAGCTCCCCCCTGTAGCCTCCCACAGACTGTTGGGGCAAGTGCTGTGAGTAGCGAGTAGCCAGCAGCGCCTGTGAACTCCGGCAACTGTGGCACACGAGGGGGTGGGTGGCCAGCACCACCACCACCACCACGCCCGGCCGTCTTTGTCTCTCCCCCAGGCGGCGATGTTTACTACCACACACCGCCGCTACACCAGGCGCTCGTTTTGAGGCCGAGTCGACCTAGGGGGAGGCCCAGGACCGGGTTCAGACGATCTCGATCACCGGTGTCGGCCGTGAGCGGGACTCGAACCCGGGTGGCCAGGTTCTTAGCGCACTAGTACACACACACTAGTACACACACACTAGTACACACACACTAGTACACACACACTAGTACACACACATACACACACTAGTACACACACATACACACACACGCACTAGTACAGAGACAAAGATCCCCCATATAGCCTTAACAGACTGTAGGGGCAAGTGCTATTAGCGAGCACCTATGAAGGCCGGAACGGTACACGAGGGGGTGGGTGGCCAGCACCACGCCCGACCGCCTTTGTCTCCCTAGTGGCGATGTTTACACACCGCACCAGGTACTCATTTGAGGCTGAGTCGACCTAGGCGAGGCCCGGGACCGGTTCAGATAATCGTCACTGGTGTTGGCCGTGAGCGGGAATCGAACCCGGGTCGCCAGGTTCATAGCGCAGCGCGCTAACCGCTACACTATGTGTGTGTACACTAGTACACACACACACTAGCACACACACACTAGTACACACACACACTAGCACACACGTACACACACACACACTAGCACACACACACTAGTACACACACACTAGTACACACACTAGTACACACACTAGTACACACACACTAGTACACACACACTAGTACACACACTAGTACACACACTAGTACACACACACTAGTACACACACACTAGCACACACACACTAGTACACACACACTAGTACACACACACTAGTACAAAGACAAAGACAAAGATCCCCCGTATAGCCTTAACAGACTGTAGGGGGCAAGTGCTGTTAGCGAGCACCTATGAAGGCCGGTAACGGTACACGAGGGGGTGGGTGGCCAGCACCACGCCCGACCGCCTTTGTCTCCCTAGTGACGATGTTTACACACCGCACAAGGTACTCATTTGAGGCTGAGTCGACCTAGGGGAGGCCCGGGACCGGTTCAGATAATCGTCACTGGTGTTGGCCGTGAGCGGGAATCGAACCCGGGTCGCCAGGTTCATAGTGCAGCGCGCTAACCGCTACACTATCGCTCCACACACACTAGTACACACACTAGTACACACACACTAGTACACACACACACTAGTACACACACACACTAGTACACACACTAGTACACACACACTAGTACACACACACTAGTACACACACACTAGTACACACGGACAAACCGAAACTCGACCCACGGGGAACACGCGGACGCCATGTATGTACGTTACATGTATGTTGATGTCTGTGTGTTGCATGTGTGTGTGTCTGTGTGTCTGTGTGTTGTGTGTCTGTGTGTTGCATGTCTGTGTGTCTGTGTGTTGCATGTGTGTGTCTGTGTGTTTGTGTGTCTGTGTGTTGCATGTGTGTCTGTGTGTCTGTGTGTTGTGTGTCTGTGTGTTGTGTGTCTGTGTGTCTGTGTTGCATGTGTGTGTGTCTGTGTGTCTGTGTGTTGCATGTCTGTGTGTCTGTGTGTCTGTGTGTTGCATGTCTGTGTGTCTGTGTGTCTGTGTGTTGCATGTGTGTGTGTCTGTGTGTCTGTGTGTTGCATGTGTGTGTGTCTGTGTGTTGCATGTGTGTGTGTCTGTGTGTCTGTGTGTTGCATGTCTGTGTGTCTGTGTGTTGCATGTCTGTGTGTCTGTGTGTTGCATGTCTGTGTGTCTGTGTGTTGCATGTCTGTGTGTCTGTGTGTTGTGTGTCTGTGTGTTGCATGTCTGTGTGTCTGTGTGTTGCATGTCTGTGTGTCTGTGTGTCTGTGTGTTGCATGTCTGTGTGTCTGTGTGTCTGTGCGTTGAACCTCCACGTAGCCGACCGTGCTAATCGCGAGCCAAAACCACAGCAAGCAGCAGACGCAGCGATTCTGGCAGTCCTGGTGGCAGTGGTGGTGGTGGTAGCAGTGGTGGTGGTGGTGGTGGTGATGGTGGTGGTGGTAGCAGTGGTGGCGGTGGCGGTGATGATGGTGGTGGTCCTGGCAGCGGTGGTGGTGATGGTGGTGATGGTGGTGGTGGTGATGGTGGTGGTGGTGGTGATGATGGTGGTGGTGGTGATGGTGGTGGTGATGGTGGTGATGGTGATGGTGGTGATGGTGGTAGCAGTGGTGGCGGTGGTGGTGGTGATGGTGGTGGTGGTGGTAGCAGTGGTGGCGGTGGTGATGGTGGCGGTGGTGGCGGTGGTAGCGGTGGTGATGGTGGCGGTGGTGGTGGCGGTGGTGGCGGCAGCGGCGGCGGCGGCGGTGGCGGCTGCCTACTTCCGATACCACATCTGGATCACTTTCTGCCTCTTGATTTTCTTCTGCAACTGCAGCACTCCGTAGAGGAGAGCCTCCGCGGTGGGAGGGCATCCTGCAGGCCGGGGACCACAGCAAAGGTCACCAAGATGCCCCCGTGGAGACTTAACAGGCTGTCGGGGGGCGAGCGCCGCTAGCTCCGCTAGCTCCGCTAGCTAGCGAGCACCGCTACCGAGCGCCGCTAGCTAGCTCCGCTAGCTCCGCTAGCTAGCGAGCACCGCTACCGAGCGCCGCTACCGAGCGCCGCTACCGAGCGCCGCTAGCTAGCTAGCGAGCGCCGCTAGCTAGCGCCGCTACCGAGCGCCGCTAGCTAGCTCCGCTAGCTCCGCTAGCTCCGCTAGCGCCGCTAGCTAGCGGCGCTACCGAGCGCCGCTAGCTAGCGCTGCTAGCTAGCTAGCTAGCGAGCGCCGCTAGCTAGCGCCGCTACCGAGCGCCGCTAGCTAGCTCCGCTAGCTCCGCTAGCTCCGCTAGCTAGCGAGCGCCGCTAGCTAGCGGCGCTACCGAGCGCCGCTAGCTAGCTAGCTAGCGGTGCTCGCTAGCTAGCTCCGCTAGCTCCGCTAGCTAGCGAGCACCGCTACCGAGCACCGCTACCGAGCGCCGCTAGCGAGGGCTACCGGCCCCGGGGGTTGCGTGGACGGCACCACGCCCGGCCGCCCAGCAGCGATGTCAACACACCGCACCAGGCGCTCATTTGAGGCTGAGCCGACCTAGGGGAGGCCCGGGGCCGGTTCAGAGAGCCGTCACCAATGGTGTTGGCCGTGAGCGGGAATCGAACCCCGGGGGGGGGGGGGGGGGTGGTTCGCCGGGGGGTTCGTAGTGGAGCGTGGCCGCTGCCCACGTACACGGACACTCACACGCACCACACGTACACACGTACACACACACACCACGTACACCACACGTACACACACACCACGTACACACGCACCACACGTACACACACACCACACGCACCACACGTACACACACACACCACGTACACCACACGTACACACACACCACGTACACACGCACCACACGTACACACACACCACACGCACCACACGTACACACACACACCACGTACACACACACCACACGTACACACACACACCACGTACACACACACCACGTACACACACACCACACGTACACACACACACCACGTACACACACACCACGTACACACACACCACACGTACACACACACACCACGTACACACACACCACACGTACACACACACACCACGTACACACACACACCACGTACACACACACCACACGTACACACACACACCACGTACACACGTACACACACCACACGTACACACACACCACGCGTACACACACCACACGTACACACACACACCACGTACACCACACGTACACACACACCACGTACACACACACCACACGTACACACACACACCACGTACACACACACCACACGTACACACACACACCACGTACACACACACCACACGTACACACACACACCACGTACACACACACCACACGTACACACACACACCACGTACACACGTACACACACCACACGTACACACACACCACGCGTACACCACACGTACACACACACCACGTACACACACCACACGTACACACACACCACGTACACACGCACCACGCGTACACACGTACACACACACCACGCGTACACCACACGTACACACACACCACGTACACACACACGTACACACGCACCACACGTACACCACACACCACACGTACACACGCACCACACGTACACACGCACCACACGTACACCACACGTACACACGTACACACACACCAAGTACACACACACACCACGTACACACACACCACACGTACACACACACCACGTACACACGTACACACGCGCACACACGCACCACACGTACACACTCACACGCACCACACGTACACACACACACCACACGTACACACGTACACACACCACACGTACACACACACCACGTACACACACACCACACGTACACCACACACCACGCGTACACCACACACCACTCGCACACACACACCACGTGCACACGTACACACGCACCACACGTACACACGCACCACGTACACAGACACCACACGTACTACACACACCACGTACACACGTACACACGCACCACACGCACACACACCACACGCACCACACGTACACACGCACCACACGTACACACGCACCACACGCACACACACACCACGTACACACACTACACGTACACATACGTACACACGTACACAGGTACACACCACACGTACACACACACGTACACACATACACACCACACGTACACACGTACACACGTACACACGCACACCACACGTACACACGCACCACACGCACACACACACCACGTACACACACTACACGTACACACACACCACACGTACACACGCACCACACGTACACACACACCACACGCACAACACGTACACACGCACCACACGTACACACGTACACACACACCACTCGCACACACACACCAAGTACACACGTACACACGCACCACACGCACCACACGCACACACACACACCACGTACACACACCACGTACACACACCACGTACACACGCACCACACGCACACACGCACCACGTACACACACTACACGTACACACATGTACACACGTACACACGCACCACGTACACACACGTACACACGTACATACACACCACACGTACACACGTACACACACACCACGCGTACACACGCACCACGCGTACACACACCACGCGTACACACACACCACACGTACACACACACACCACACGTACACACACACGTACACACGCACCACGTACACGCACCACACGTACACACACACCACACGTACACACGTACACACACACCACCACGTACACCACGCGTACACACCACACGTACACACGTACACACACCACACGTACACACACCACACGTACACACACACACCACACGTACACCACACACCACACGTACACACACCACACGTACACACGTACACACACACCACACGTACACACACACACCACACGTACACACACACACCACACGTACACACACACACCACGTACACACACACCACACACACACCACGTACACCACACGTACACACACACACCACGTACACACACACCACGTACACACACACACCACGTACACACACACCACACACACACCACGTACACCACACGTACACACACACACCACGTACACACACACCACGTACACACACACACCACGTACACACGCACCACACGTACACACACACCACGCGTACACCACACGTACACACACACGTACACACACCACACGTACACACGTACACACACACACCACGTACACCACACGTACACACACACCACGTACACACGCACCACACGTACACACACACCACGCGTACACCACACGTACACACACACGTACACACACCACACGTACACACGTACACACACACACCACGTACACCACACGTACACACACACCACGTACACACGCACCACGCGTACACACATACACACACACACCACGTACACACCACACGTACACACGTACACACACACACCACGTACACCACACGTACACACACACCACGTACACACGCACCACACGTACACACACACCACACGCACCACACGTACACACACACACCACGTACACACACACCACACGTACACACACACACCACGTACACACACACCACGTACACACACACCACACGTACACACACACACCACGTACACACACACCACGTACACACACACCACACGTACACACACACACACCACGTACACACACACCACACGTACACACACACACCACGTACACACACACACCACGTACACACACACCACACGTACACACACACACCACGTACACACGTACACACACCACACGTACACACACACCACGCGTACACACACCACACGTACACACACACACCACGTACACCACACGTACACACACACCACGTACACACACACCACACGTACACACACACACCACGTACACACACACCACACGTACACACACACACCACGTACACACACACCACACGTACACACACACACCACGTACACACACACCACACGTACACACACACACCACGTACACACGTACACACACCACACGTACACACACACCACGCGTACACCACACGTACACACACACCACGTACACACACCACACGTACACACACACACGTACACACGCTACCACGCGTACACACGTACACACACACACGCGTACACCACACGTACACACACACACACGTACACACACACGTACACACGCACCACACGTACACAACACACCACACGTACACACGCACCACACGTACACACGCACCACACGTACACACACACGTACCACACGTACACACACACCAACGTACACACACACACCACGTACACACACACCACACGTACACACACACACGTACACACGTACACACGCGCACACACAGCACCACACGTACACACTCACACGCACACACACGTACACACACACCACACGTACACACACACGTACACACACACACGTACACACACACCACGTACACACACACACAACGTACACACACACCACGCGTACACACACACCACGTCACACACACACACCACGTGCACACGTACACACGCACCACACGTACACACGCACCACGTACACAGACACCACACGTACTACACACACCACGTACACACGTACACACGCACCACACGCACACACACCACACGCACCACACGTACACACGCACCACACGTACACACGCACCACACGCACACACACACCACGTACACACACTACACGTACACATACGTACACACGTACACAGGTACACACCACACGTACACACACACGTACACACATACACACCACACGTACACACGTACACACGTACACACGCACACCACACGTACACACGCACCACACGCACACACACACCACGTACACACACTACACGTACACACACACCACACGTACACACGCACCACACGTACACACACACCACACGCACAACACGTACACACGCACCACACGTACACACGTACACACACACCACTCGCACACACACACCAAGTACACACGTACACACGCACCACACGCACCACACGCACACACACACACCACGTACACACACCACGTACACACACCACGTACACACGCACCACACGCACACACGCACCACGTACACACACTACACGTACACACATGTACACACGTACACACGCACCACGTACACACACGTACACACGTACATACACACCACACGTACACACGTACACACACACCACGCGTACACACGCACCACGCGTACACACACCACGCGTACACACACACCACACGTACACACACACACCACACGTACACACACACGTACACACGCACCACGTACACGCACCACACGTACACACACACCACACGTACACACGCACCACACATACACACACCACACGTACACACGTACACACGCACCACACGCACCACACGCACCACACGCACCACACGCACCACGTACACACACTACACGTACACACACACGTACACACACCACACGTACACACGTACACACACACACCACGTACACCACACGTACACACACACCACGTACACACGCACCACACGTACACACACACCACGCGTACACCACACGTACACACACACGTACACACACCACACGTACACACGTACACACACACACCACGTACACCACACGTACACACACACCACGTACACACGCACCACGCGTACACACATACACACACACACCACGTACACACCACACGTACACACGTACACACACACACCACGTACACCACACGTACACACACACCACGTACACACGCACCACACGTACACACACACCACACGCACCACACGTACACACACACACCACGTACACACACACCACACGTACACACACACACCACGTACACACACACCACGTACACACACACCACACGTACACACACACACCACGTACACACACACCACGTACACACACACCACACGTACACACACACACACCACGTACACACACACCACACGTACACACACACACCACGTACACACACACACCACGTACACACACACCACACGTACACACACACACCACGTACACACGTACACACACCACACGTACACACACACCACGCGTACACACACCACACGTACACACACACACCACGTACACCACACGTACACACACACCACGTACACACACACCACACGTACACACACACACCACGTACACACACACCACACTTACACACACACACCACGTACACACACACCACACGTACACACACACACCACGTACACACACACCACACGTACACACACACACCACGTACACACGTACACACACCACACGTACACACACACCACGCGTACACCACACGTACACACACACCACGTACACACACCACACGTACACACACACCACGTACACACGCACCACGCGTACACACGTACACACACACCACGCGTACACCACACGTACACACACACCACGTACACACACACGTACACACGCACCACACGTACACCACACACCACACGTACACACGCACCACACGTACACACGCACCACACGTACACCACACGTACACACGTACACACACACCAAGTACACACACACACCACGTACACACACACCACACGTACACACACACCACGTACACACGTACACACGCGCACACACGCACCACACGTACACACTCACACGCACCACACGTACACACACACACCACACGTACACACGTACACACACCACACGTACACACACACCACGTACACACACACCACACGTACACCACACACCACGCGTACACCACACACCACTCGCACACACACACCACGTGCACACGTACACACGCACCACACGTACACACGCACCACGTACACAGACACCACACGTACTACACACACCACGTACACACGTACACACGCACCACACGCACACACACCACACGCACCACACGTACACACGCACCACACGTACACACGCACCACACGCACACACACACCACGTACACACACTACACGTACACATACGTACACACGTACACAGGTACACACCACACGTACACACACACGTACACACATACACACCACACGTACACACGTACACACGTACACACGCACACCACACGTACACACGCACCACACGCACACACACACCACGTACACACACTACACGTACACACACACCACACGTACACACGCACCACACGTACACACACACCACACGCACAACACGTACACACGCACCACACGTACACACGTACACACACACCACTCGCACACACACACCAAGTACACACGTACACACGCACCACACGCACCACACGCACACACACACACCACGTACACACACCACGTACACACACCACGTACACACGCACCACACGCACACACGCACCACGTACACACACTACACGTACACACATGTACACACGTACACACGCACCACGTACACACACGTACACACGTACATACACACCACACGTACACACGTACACACACACCACGCGTACACACGCACCACGCGAACACACACCACGCGTACACACACACCACACGTACACACACACACCACACGAACACACACACGGACACACGCACCACGTACACGCACCACACGTACACACACACCACACGTACACACGCACCACACATACACACACCACACGTACACACGTACACACGCACCACACGCACCACACGCACCACACGCACCACACGCACCACGTACACACACTACACGTACACACGCACCACGTACACACACCACACGTACACACACACCACACGTACTACACGCACCACGTACACACGCACCGCACGTACACACGTACACACGCACCACGTACACACGTACACACGCACCACACGTACACACACCACGTACACACACACACACACACGCACACACACCCACCCACACGCACCACGTACACACACACGCTTGTGGTGCGCGTGTGGTATGTGTGTGTGTGCGTGTGTGTGCGTGTGTGCGTGTGTGTGTGTGCGTGCGTGTGTGTGTGCGTGTGTGCGTGTGTGTGTGTGCGTGTGTTCGAACATTGTTGGCACAGTATGGGGCACAGGTGGTGCATCGGCCAGTCATCTCAGTCAGGCAAACCGTGGCAACAGGGGCTGTCCAGTGACCTCCTGCCAGCGGGCGTTCGACACTTCACGTGGCCTCAAGGTGCACATAGCCTGGCACAAGCGTCGTGGTGACGTCACCGCCACTTAGTGGCGAATGGCGGTTGTTGTTTGGTGTGTGTGTGTGCGTGTGTGTGTGTGTGTACGTCTGCGTGGGTGTGTGTGTGTGTGTGCGTGTGTGTGCGTGCGTGTGTGCGTGCGTGTGTGTGTACGTCTGTGTGCGTGTGTGTGTGTGTGTGCGTGTGTGTGCGTGTGTGTGTGCGTGTGTGCGTGCGTGTGTGTGTGTGTGTACGTCTGTGTGGGTGCGTGTGTGTGCGTGCGTGCGTGTGCTTGTGGTGTGTGCGTGTGTGTGTGTGTGCGTGTGTGTGTGTGTGTGTGCGTGTGTGTGCGTGTGCGTGTGCGTGCGTGCGTGCGTATGTGTGTGCGTGTGTGTGCGTGTGTGCGTGTGTGCGTGTGCGTGTGTGCCAGGAGCCTCACCGGGCACGTAGATGTCAACGGGGACAATGCGGTCACAGCCACGCACCACGGAGTAGGAGTAGTGGTAGTAGCCGCCTCCATTGGCACAGCTACACCAGCACACAAAGACAGACATATACACACACACACACACGGATGTATACATACAGATATAGGCAACCAATCACAACAACAACAACAACCGCCATTCGCCACTAAGTGGCGGTGACGTCACCACGACGTTTGTGCCAGGCTATGTGCACCGTGAGGCCACGTGAAGTGTCGAACGCCCGCTGGCAGGAGGTCAAGGGGCAGACCCAGCAGGTGCCACGGGTCGACTGACTGAGATGACTGGCTGATGCACCACCTGTGCCCCCTACTGTGCCAACCTGCTGTGCTTTAGCCACCCGGCGCTCCGCTCGTCGTTCTGAGCGTCGCTCCTCCGCCCTCCGTTGTTGTTGGAGGGCGACTGCCTCCAACTGCCCAGTAGCGTCCTTCACGAGCCTCCTGCACAGAGGCCGATCTTGACACCGCTGGTACCGGTCATCGGCAAGTCCACTCAGCTCCACGTCCTCCCGTACCGCATCACTCCATCTCTTCTCTAGCCCGTGCCGCGCCCGTTTAGCCCACTCTTATCTGGCCATAAACAAGCTGCTTTAGGCATGCGGTGGCTGGGCATGCAGGCTCCATGGCCCAGCCGATGCAGCCTTTTCTGTGGGAGCTCACTGATGGTAATGTGCCCAGATCTTTCAAGGATTTGTGAGCTCCTCACACAATCCAGTCTGGTTAAACCCAGGATGGATTGTAGGCAGGCAAGCCTGAATAATTTCTAACCGGCGAAGATGTTCCATTAGGGGGGGTCCACATTTCGCAAGCGTAGAGAAGGGAGGGAATGACCGTGGCCGAGAAGACCTGAAGCTTAGTGCGGAGCGACAGACCAGGTAGCTTCCACACAGCGTTACGCAACCGATGAAAAGATATTGCCGCTCGACTGATTCGGAGCGAGACCTCTGCTGTAAAACCGGAGCCGGTCATAAGCACACTGCCCAGGTATGGGAAACTCTCCACTCACTCCACAACTGCCCCATCACCAATGGGGAGCCGGGGGGTGGAGTGTCCGATGGCATAAAATACCCAGGCAGGTGCTCAGTTCTGGTGGGGCTGATGGTAAGGCCCCACCTCTTAGTGGCACGCTCCAGGTTCAGCAGCAGCGCTTTTAACTCCTCTGAGTGAGCAGCAATCGCCAGATCATCGGCATACATAACGTGGTTGAGCAATAGGGAACCATCCCTTGACCGCACCCAGGCATCGGTCAGCCTCCCATTGTATCTGCACCAGATGGAAATTCCTGTGGTACAGCCGTGGAAAGCTTCTCAAAGATGATGTTAAGTAATGTGGGAGCCAGAGGACATCCCTGTCGCACCCCAAAGTGAACAGGGAATGGCTCTGACTCCTGGCCACGTAGCTTTACCTGGGCCCGCTCACCATCATGAAGGTCCTTAATGATCGTGAGCAGAATCAGGAACTCAGAAAGCACCAAGAACTTCCACACAGCCCTGGCCTGTTGATGGTGTCATAAGCATGGACCAGGTAAATAAAGCAGAGATGTAGGTCTTGTTGGAATTCCCGACACCTCTGTTGTAGCATACGGACAGAAAATATGGCATCCGTGCAGGACCATCCTGGTCTGAAACCGCATTGGGGCTCCGCAAGCCTCTCCTCAGCGTGCCTGGCGAGGCGATGTTGAATAATCCTTGCCAGGACCTTTCCCGGCCTCACACTGAGGAGTGAGATGCCCCTGTAGTTGTTACAGTCTGCGCGGTCCCCCTTCTTAAAGAGGGGGACCACCAGGGCATCCTTCCGATCCTGCGGAACCCGTCCAGTGGTCCAGACTGTTGCGACGATGTCCTGTAGGGCAGTCTGTGCACAAACGCCACCCTCCCTCAGCATTTCGCTTGGGAGATCGTCACTGCCCGTCGCTTTTCCTGGTCTCAGGACTTCCTCCACAGATGGCACCTCAGCCAACCACTCAGAAGGGGGTGGGGCCACTCCTACCAATATTTGAGGCAACGGCAGCCCTAGCACGGGCTGAGGGAATTCCCCTCCCCCCAATACCTCACGTGAACGCTCCACAAACATGCAGCCCTGTTTCCGGGGGGCGGGTCGTCGAGATCGGATTACCTTTCATTCCCTTAACGATGGTGATAACGATGGTGATAGGCGAGGCACTGCAGGTAACTTTTTTTTTTCTTCATTGAGTTAAAGAGCGATTCGTGATTGCGGGCTACCGGGGCGGATTCCCTCTCCTCGGCAAACCCGCAGCCCGAGGAAGGGCTGCGGCAAGCCGGCTCCTCCTCCAGTGTTGGATGCTCTAGGCAAATAGGAGCGGGTCTCTGGGGAGGTTTCAGACTGCATGCCCCAATGCAGCCAATTGCAGCTGCACGAGCCAAAGCTCACTACCGCAACCACTCCCCCTACCCAATATCATCGCTGAGTAGTGGCAGCCTCTACTCCGCAATGAGTGGACAACATTCCCCGTGGCCAATCTCAGTGGTCTGCTGTTCCTGGAGGAACCCTGAGAGGAGGGGAGAGGAGGTGGGATCAGTCTCCTGGCTCTGCCAGGTGGAGTTTGGCCAGAAGGCGTCATGGACACCGGCCCCCCTGGTCTCTAGCACGAGATTATTTCGGTGTTTGTAGCATGCTGCTTGGGAGACCGAGTGGCAGGTGGAGGGGTTACCAGCCCCTCGCACGGACTGATCCTTCTACGTGCACACACCGCCCCCACTCACACCACCACGGTCCGCACACACACACACAGCCTGTACCACACACACACACAGCCTGTACCACACACACTCACAGCCTGCACCACACTCACACACAGCCTGTACCACACACATACACACAGCCTGTACCACACACACAGCCTGCACCACACTCACACACAGCCTGTACCACACACACACACTCAGTCTGTACCACACACACACTCAGTCTGTACAACACACACACTCAGTCTGTACCACACACACACTCAGCCTACACCACACACACACACAGCCTGCACCACACACACACACAGCCTGTACCACACACACACACACAGCCTGTACCACACACTCACACACAGCCTACACCACACACACACTCAGCCTACACCACACACACACACAGCCTGTACCACACACACACTCAGCCTACACCACACACACACACAGCCTGTACCACACACACACACAGCCTACACCACACACACACACAGCCTGCACCACACACACACACAGCCTGTACCACACACACACTCAGTCTGTACCACACACACACACAGCCTGTACCACACACACACACAGCCTGTACCAGACACACACAATCAGCCTGTACCACACACACACTCAGCCTGTACCACACACACACACAGCCTGCACCACACACACACACACACAGCCTGTACCACACACACACTCAGTCTGTACCACACACACACACAGCCTGTACCACACACACACACAGCCTGTACCAGACACACACACAGCCTACACCACACACACACACAGCCTGTACCACACACACACACAGCCTACACACACACACACACTCAGTCTGTACCACACACACACACAGCCTGTACCACACACACAATCAGCCTGTACCACACACACACTCAGCCTACATCACACACACACTCAGCCTACATCACACACACACACACAGCCTGTACCACACACACACTCAGTCTGTACCACACACACACACAGCCTGTACCACACACACACACAGCCTGTACCAGACACACACAAAGCCTACACCACACACACACACACAGCCTGCACCACACACACACACACACAGCCTGTACCACACACACACACAGCCTGTACCACACACACACACAGCCTGTACCACACACACACTCAGTCTGTACCACACACACACACAGCCTGTACCACACACACACACAGCCTGTACCACACACACACACAGCCTGCACCACACACACACACAGCCTGTACCACACACACACTCAGCCTACACCACACACACACACACAGCCTGTACCACACACACACACAGCCTACACCACACACACACACAGCCTGTACCACACACACAGCCTGTACCACACACACACACAGCCTGTACCACACACACACTCAGCCTACACCACACACACACACAGCCTGTACCACACACACACTCAGCCTGTACCACACACACACACTCAGCCTACACCACACACACACACAGCCTGTACCACACACACAGCCTACACCACACACACACACACAGCCTGTACCACACACACACACAGCCTACACCACACACACACACAGCCTGTACCACACACACACACAGCCTGTACCAGACACACACACAGCCTACACCACACACACACACAGCCTGTACCACACACACACACAGCCTACACCACACACACACACAGCCTGTACCACACACAGCCTACACCATACACACAGCCTGTACCACACACACACACACAGCCTACACCACACACACACTCAGCCTACACCACACACACACACAGCCTATACCACACACACACACACACAGCCTAGACCACACACACACTCAGCCTACACCACACACACACACACAGCCTACACCACACACACACTCAGCCTACACCACACACACACACACAGCCTGCACCACACACACACTCAGCCTACACCACACACACACTCAGCCTACACCACACACACACACAGCCTGTACCACACACACACACACAGCCTGCACCACACACACACACACACAGCCTGTACCACACACACAGCCTGTACCACACACACACACAGCCTGCACCACACACACACACACAGCCTGTACCACACACACACTCAGCCTACACCACACACACACACACAGCCTGCACCACACACACACACAGCCTACACCACACACACACACAGCCTGCACCACACACACACACACAGCCTGTACCACACACACACTCAGCCTACACCACACACACACACAGCCTGCACCACACACACACTCAGCCTACACCACACACACACACAGCCTGCACCACACACACAGCCTGTACCACACACACACACACAGCCTACACCACACACACACAGCCTGTACCACACACACACTCAGCCTACACCACACACACACACAGTCTGTAACACACACACAGCCTACACCACACACACACACAGCCTGTACCACACACACACAGCCTGTACCACACACACACACACAGCCTACACCACACACACACACAGCCAGTACCACACACACACACACAGCCTGTACCACACACACACTCACAGCCTGTACCACACACACACACACAACCTGTACCACACACACACACAGCCTGCACCACACACACACACAGCCTGCACCACACACACACACACAGCCTGTACCACACACACACACAGCCTGTACCACACACACACACAGCCTGCACCACACACACACACACAGCCTGTACCACACACACACACAGCCTGCACCACACACACACACAGCCTGCACCACACACACACACACAGCCTGTACCACACACACACACAGCCTGTACCACACACACAGCCTGTACCACACACTCACACAGCCTGTACCACACACACACACAGCCTGCACCACACACACACACAGCCTGTACCACACACACACACACAGCCTGTACCACACACACAGTCAGCCTGTACCACACACTCAGCCTACACCACACACACACACAGCCTACACCACACACACACACAGCCTGCACCACACACACACACACAGCCTGTACCACACACTCACACAGCCTGTACCACACACACACACAGCCTGTACCACACACACACACAGCCTGTACCACACACACACTCAGCCTACACCACACACACACTCAGCCTACACCACACACACACACAGCCTACACCACACACACACACACAGCCTGTACCACACACACACACAGCCTGTACCACACACACACACAGCCTACACCACACACAAACACAGCCTACACCACACACACACACAGCCTGTACCACACACACACTCAGCCTACACCACACACACACACAGCCTGTACCACACACACAGCCTACACCACACACACACAGCCTACACCACACACACACACAGACTGTACCACACTCACAGCCTGTACCACACACACACACTCAGCCTGCACCACACACACACGCAGCCTGTACCACACACACACACAGCCTGTACCACACACACACACAGCCTGTACCACAAACTCACAGCCTGTACCACACACACACTCACAGCCTGTACCACACACACACAGCCTGTACCACACACACACACAGCCTACACCACACACACACACAGCCTGTACCACACACAGCCTACACCACACACACACACAGCCTACACCACACACACACACAGCCTGTACCACACACACACAGCCTACACCACACACACACACAGCCTGTACCACACACACACACAGCCTGCACCACACACACACACAGCCTGCACCACACACACACACAGCCTGTACCACACACAGCCTACACCACACACACACACAGCTTGTACCACACACACAACTTGTACCACACACACACACACAGCCTACACCACACACACACACAGCCTGTACCACACACACAGTCAGCCTGTACCATACACACACACAGCCTGTACCACACACACACACACAGCCTACACCACACACACACAGCCTACACCACACACACACACACAGCTTGTACCACACACTCAGCCTGTACCACACACACACTCAGCCTACACCACACACACACACAGTCAGCCTGTACCACACACACACTCAGCCTACACCACACACACACACAGCCTGTACCACACACACACACAGCCTGTACCACACACACAGCCTGTACCACACACACTCACAGCCTGTAACACACACACTCAGCCTACACCACACACACAGCCTGTACCACACACACACACTCAGCCTACACCACACACACAGCCTGTACCACACACACACACACACAGCCTACACCACACACACAGCCTGTACCACACACACACACACAGCCTGTACCACTCACACACTCAGCCTGTACCACACACACACACACAGCCTACACCACACACACACACAGCCTACACCACACACACACACAGCCTACACCACACACACACACACACAGCCTACACCACACAGACACTCAGCCTACACCACACACACACACAGCCTGTACCACACACACACACACAGCCTGTACCACACACACACACAGCCTGTACCACACACACAGCCTACACCACACACACACAGCCTGTACCACACACACACACAGCCTGTACCACACACACACACACAGCCTACACCACACACACACACACACAGCCTACACCACACACACACACAGCCTACACCACACACACACAGCCTGTACCACACACACAGCCTGTACCACACACACACACACACAGCCTGTACCACACACACACACAGCCTGTACCACACACACACAGCCTACACCACACACACACACAGCCTGTACCACACACACACACAGCGTACACCACTCACACACACAGCCTGTACCACACACACAGCCTGTACCACACACACACACACACAGTCTGTACCACACACACAGCCTGTACCACACACACACACAGCCTGCACCACACACACACACAGCCTGCACCACACACACACACACAGCCTGTACCACACACACACACAGCCTGTACCACACACACACACACACAGCCTACACCACACACACACACAGCCTACACCACACACACACACAGCCTGCACCACACACACACACTGCCTGTACCACACACACACAGCCTACACCACACACACACACACAGCCTGCACCACACACACACACAGCCTGTACCACACACACACTCAGCCTACACCACACACACACACAGCCTGCACCACACACACACACAGCCTGTACCACACACACACACAGCCTGTACCACACACACACACAGCCTGTACCACACACACACACAGCCTGTACCACACTCACAGCCTGTACCACACACACACACAGCCTACACCACACACACACACAGCCTGTACCACACACACACACAGCCTGCACCACACACACACACAGCCTGCACCACACACACACACACAGCCTGTACCACACGCAGCCTACACCACACACACACACAGCCTACACCACACACACACACAGCCTGCACCACACACACACACAGCCTGCACCACACACACACACACACAGCCTGTACCACACGCAGCCTACACCACACACACACACAGCCTGCACCACACACACACACAGCCTGCACCACACACACACACAGCCTGCACCACACACACACACAGCCTGTACCACACGCAGCCTAAACCACACACACACACAGCCTGTACCACGCACACACACAGCCTGTACCACACACACAGCCTGTACCACACACACTCAGCCTACACCACACACACACTCAGCCTACACCACACACACACACACAGCCTGTACCACACACACACTCAGCCTACACCACACACACACACAGCCTACACCACACACACACTCAGCCTACACCACACACACACACAGCCTGTACCACACACACTCAGCCTATACCACACACTCACTCACATCCCCATACACCCATTTACATACCTACTAACCCACACCCATTCACCCACACATCCACTCACACACCCATTCACCCACACATCCACTCACAACCAACCATTCACCCACACATCCACTCACACACCCATTCACCCACACATCCACTCACCCACTCACTCAACCACATCCACTTAACCACACCCCCGCTCACAAACCAACGCACCCACTCACCCACTTACCCACACACCCACTCACCCACTCACACACCCACTCACCCACACATACACTCACACACTCCCATACCCACTCACCCACTCACACACATTCACACTCACCCACACACCCACTCACCCACACATACACACACACACTCCCATACCTACTCACCCACTCACATACATACATACACACTCACCCACACACCCACACACTCACCCACACACCCACTCACACACACATACACTCACCCACTCCCATACATACACACTCACCCACACACCCACTCACCCACACACACATACACACACTCCCATACCCACTCATCCACTCACATACATACACACTCACCCACTCACCCACTCACCCACACATACACACACACACTGCCATACCCACTCATCCACTCACATACATACACACTCACCCACACACCCACTCACACACACATACACTCACCCACTCCAATACATACACACTCACCCACACACCCACTCACCCACACATACATACACACACTCCCATACCCACTCACATACCCACTCACCCACATCCACTCATACACTCACCCATACATACTCACTCACCCACACACACACGCCTACTCACTCACTCTTGTTCGCATGAACACACAAAAACACGAAGATACACACACACAGACTTTCACACACACACACTCACAAACTAACCTTCCCATGGAGATAACCCAGCGAGGTTCAGGCATCTGATCATAAACCTGCAGACACACACAGACACAGATACACAGATAGATACACACAGATACACACAGTTAGATACACACACAGATACACACACAGACACAGATACACACACAGATAGATACACACAGATACACACACAGTTAGATACACACACAGATACACACACACAGATACACACAGACACACACACAGATACACACACAGACACACACACAGATAGATACACACACAGATACACAGATAAAAACACAGACACACAGATACATGCACAGATACACACACAGATAGATACACACAGATACACACACAGACACACACACAAAGACACACACACAGATACACACACAGATACACACATAGATACAAACACAGACACACAGATACATGCACAGATACACACACAGAGAGACAAAGATACAAAGATCCCCCATATAGCCTTGACAGACTGTAGGGGCAAGTGCTGTTAGCGAGCACCTATGAAGGCCGGCATGGTACACGAGGGGGTGGGTGGCCAGCACCACGCCCGACCGCCTTTGTCTCCCCAGTGGCGATGTTTACACACCGCACCAGGTACTCGTTTGAGGCCGAGTCGACCTAGGGGAGGCCCAGGACTGGTTCAGATAATTGTCTCGGGTGGTGGTGTTGACCTGTGAGCAGGAATGGAACTCACATCGTGGGTTGATAGCGCAGCACGCTAACCGCTACACTACCGATCCCCACAATCATCACAATCACACACAGTCACCACCACCCGTGTCTCCCTGTGTCTCCCCGTGTGTCTCCCCGTGTCACTCCCCGTGCCTCTCCCCGCGTCTCTCCCCCCGTGTCTCCCCGCGTCTCTCCCCGCGTCTCTCCCCCCCGTGTGTCTCCCCGTGTCTCTCCCCGCGTCTCTCCCCGTGTCTCTCTCCCCCGTGTCTCTCCCCCCCGTGTCTCTCCCCGTGTCTCTCCCTGCGCGTCTCTCCCCGTGTCTCTCTCCCCCGTGTCTCTCTCCCCGTGTCTCTCCCCGTGTCTCTCCCTGCGCGTCTCTCCCCGCGTGTCTCTCCCCGCGTCTCCCCCCGCGTCTCTCCCCGTGTCTCTCCCCGTGTCTCCCCCCGCGTCTCTCCCCGTGCGTCTCCCCGTGTCTCTCCCCCCCGCGTCTCCCCGTGTCTCTCCCCGCATCTCTCCCCGTGTCTCTCCCTGCGCGTCTCTCCCCGCGTCTCTCCCCGCGTCTCCCCCCGCGTCTCTCCCCAGGTCTCTCCCCGTGTCTCCCCCCGCGTCTCTCCCCAGGTCTCTCCCCGTGTCTCTCCCTGCGCGTCTCTCCCCGCGTCTCTCCCCGCGTCTCTCCCCGCGTCTCTCCCCGTGTCTCCCCCCGCGTCTCTCTCCGTGTCTCTCCCCGTGTCTCTCCCCCCGCGTCTCTCTCCGTGTCTCTCCCCGTGTCTCTCCCCCCGTGTCTCTCCTCGCGTCTCTCCCCGCGTCTCTCCCCGTGTCTCTCCCCGTGTCTCTCCCCGCGTCTCTCCCCGTGTCTCTCCCCGTGTCTCTCCCCGTGTCTCTCCCCGTGTCTCTCCCCCCCGTGTCTCTCCCTCCCGTGTCACTCCCCCCGTCTCTCTCCGTGTCTCTCCCCGCGCGTCTCTCCCCCCATCTCTCCCCGTGTCTCTCCCAGTGTCTCTCCCCCCCCGTCTCTCCCCCCGTGTCTCTCCCCCCCGTGTCTCTCCCCCCCGTGTCTCTCCCCGTGTCTCTCCCCGCGTCTCCCCGTGTCTCTCCCCGCGTCTCTCCCCGTGTCTCTCCCCCCCGTGTCTCTCCCCGCGTCTCTCCGTCTCTCCCCATGTCTCTCCCCCCCGTGTCTCCCCCCGCGTCTCCCCGTGTCTCTCCCGGTGTCTCTCCCCGTGTCTCTCCCCGTGTCTCTCCCAGTGTCTCCCCGCGTCTCTCCCCGTGTCTCTCCCCCCCGTGTCTCTCCCCGCGTCTCCCCGTCTCTCCCTCCGTGACTCCCCGTGTCTCTCCCCCCCGTGTCTCTCCCCCCCGTGTCTCTCCCCCCCGTGTCTCTCCCCCCGTCTCTCCCCGTGTCTCTCCCCGCGTCTCCCCGCGTCTACCCGTGTCTCTCCCCGTGTCTCTCCCCGTGTCTCTCCCCCCGTGCCTCTCCCCGTGTCTCTCCCCGTGTCTCTCCCCGTGTCTCTCCCCGTGTCTCTCCCTCCGTGTCTCTCCCCGTGTCTCTCCCCGTGTCTCTCCCCGTGTCTCTCCCCGCGTCTCCCCGCGTCTCTCCCCGTGTCTCCCCCCGCGTCTCCCCGTGTCTCTCCCCGCGTCTCCCCCCGCGTCTCCCCCCGCATCTCCCCGTGTCTCTCCCCGCGTCTCTCCCCGTGTCTCTCCCCGTGTCTCTCCCAGTGTCTCCCCGCGTCTCTCCCCGTGTCTCTCCCCCCCGTGTCTCTCCCCGCGTCTCCCCGTCTCTCCCTCCGTGTCTCCCCGTGTCTCTCCCCCCCGTGTCTCTCCCCCCCGTGTCTCTCCCCCCGTCTCTCCCCGTGTCTCTCCCCGCGTCTCCCCGCGTCTCCCCGTGTCTCTCCCCGTGTCTCTCCCCGTGTCTCTCCCCCCGTGCCTCTCCCCGTGTCTCTCCCCGTGTCTCTCCCCGTGTCTCTCCCTCCGTGTCTCTCCCCGTGTCTCTCCCCGTGTCTCTCCCCGTGTCTCTCCCCGCGTCTCCCCGCGTCTCTCCCCGTGTCTCCCCCCGCGTCTCCCCGTGTCTCTCCCCGCGTCTCCCCCCGCGTCTCCCCCCGCATCTCCCCGTGTCTCTCCCCGCGTCTCTCCCCGTGTCTCTCCCCGTGTCTCTCCCAGTGTCTCCCCGCGTCTCTCCCCGTGTCTCTCCCCCCCGTGTCTCTCCCCGCGTCTCCCCGTCTCTCCCTCCGTGTCTCCCCGTGTCTCTCCCCCCCGTGTCTCTCCCCCCCGTGTCTCTCCCCCCGTCTCTCCCCGTGTCTCTCCCCGCGTCTCCCCGCGTCTCCCCGTGTCTCTCCCCGTGTCTCTCCCCGTGTCTCTCCCCCCGTGCCTCTCCCCGTGTCTCTCCCCGTGTCTCTCCCCGTGTCTCTCCCTCCGTGTCTCTCCCCGTGTCTCTCCCCGTGTCTCTCCCCGTGTCTCTCCCCGCGTCTCCCCGCGTCTCTCCCCGTGTCTCCCCCCGCGTCTCCCCGTGTCTCTCCCCGCGTCTCCCCCCGCGTCTCCCCCCGCATCTCCCCGTGTCTCTCCCCGCGTCTCTCCCCGTGTCTCTCCCCGTGTCTCTCCCAGTGTCTCCCCGCGTCTCTCCCCGTGTCTCTCCCCCCCGTGTCTCTCCCCGCGTCTCCCCGTCTCTCCCTCCGTGTCTCCCCGTGTCTCTCCCCCCCGTGTCTCTCCCCCCCGTGTCTCTCCCCCCGTCTCTCCCCGTGTCTCTCCCCGTGTCTCTCCCCGTGTCTCTCCCCCTGTCTCTCCCCGTGTCTCTCCCCCCCGTGTCTCTCCCCCCCGTGTCTCTCCCCGTGTCTCTCCCCATGTCTCTCCCCCCCGTGTCTCTCCCCCCGCGTCTCCCCCCGCGTCTCCCCCGTGTCTCTCCCCGCGTCTCCCCGTGCCTCTCCCCCCCGTGTCTCCCCCCGCGTCTCCCCGTGTCTCTCCCCCCGCGTCTCCCCCCGCGTCTCCCCGTGTCTCTCCCCGCATCTCTCCCCGCGTCTTTCCCCGTGTCTCTCCCCGTGTCTCTCCCCCCCGTGTCTCTCCCCGTGTCTCTCCCCGCATCTCTCCCCGCATCTCTCCCCGCGTCTCTCCCTGCCGTGTCTCTCCCCCCCGTGTCTCCCCCCGCGTCTCCCCCAGTGTCTCTCCCCCCGCGTCTCCCCGTGTCTCTCCCCGTGTCTCTCCCCGTGTCTCTCCCCCCGCGTCTCCCCGTGTCTCTCCCCCCGCGTCTCTCCCCGTGTCTCTCCCAGTGTCTCTCCCCGTGTCTCTCCCCGTGTCTCCCCCCGTGTCTCTCCCCCCGTGTCTCTCCCCGTGTCTCTCCCCATGTCTCTCCCCCCGTGTCTCCCCGTGTCTCTCCCCGTGTCTCTCCCCCTGTCTCTCCCCCCGTGTCTCCCCGTGTCTCTCCCCGTGTCTCTCCCCCCGCGTCTCCCCGTGTCTCTCCCCTCCGTGCCTCTCCCCCCGTGTCTCTCCCCCCCGTGTCTCCCCCCGCGTCTCCCCGTCTCTCTCCCCGTGTCTCTCCCCGTGTCTCTCCCCCCGCGTCTCCCCGTGTCTCTCCCCCCGTGTCTCTCCCCGTGTCTCTCCCAGTGTCTCTCCCCGTGTCTCTCCCCGTGTCTCCCCCCGTGTCTCTCCCCCCGTGTCTCTCCCCGTGTCTCTCCCCCCGTGTCTCCCCGTGTCTCTCCCCGTGTCTCTCCCCGTGTCTCTCCCCGCGTCTCTCCCCGTGCGTCTCCCCGTGTCTCTCCCCCCGCGTCTCCCCGTGTCTCTCCCCGCGTCTCTCCCCGTGTCTCTCCCTGCGCGTCTCTCCCCGCGTCTCTCCCCGCGTCTCCCCCCGTGTCTCTCCCCGCGTCTCTCCCCCCCGTGTCTCTCCCCCCCGTGTCTCTCCCCGTGTCTCTCCCCCCGCGTCTCCCCCCGCGTCTCCCCCGTGTCTCTCCCCGCGTCTCCCCGTGCCTCTTCCCCCCGTGTCTCCCCCCGCGTCTCCCCGTGTCTCTCCCCCCGCGTCTCTCCCCGTGTCTCCCCGTGTCTCTCCCCCCGTGTCTCTCCCCATGTCTCCCCCCGCGTCTCCCCCCGCGTCTCCCCGTCTCTCCCCGTGTCTCTCCCCCCCGCGTCTCCCCGTGTCTCTCCCCCCCGTGTCTCTCCCCGTGTCTCTCCCCCCGCGTCTCTCCCCGTGTCTCCCCGTGTCTCTCCCCCCCGTGCCTCTCCCCGTGTCTCCCCCCTCGTCTCCCCCCGTCTCCCCCCACGTCTCCCCCGCGTCTCTCCCCCCCGTGTCTCTCTCCCCGCGTCTCTCCCCCCCGTGTCTCTCCCCCCCGTGTCTCTCCCCGTGTCTCTCCCCCCGCGTCTCCCCCCGCGTCTCCCCCGTGTCTCCCCCCGCGTCTCCCCCGCGTCTCCCCCCGCGTCTCCCCCGCGTCTCCCCCCGCGTCTCCCCGTGTCTCTCCCCCCGCGTCTCCCCGCCGTGTCTCTCCCCTCCGTGTCTCTCCCCCCCGTGTCTCTCCCCGCGTCTCCCCGTCTCTCAATCCGTGTCTCCCCATCTCTCCCTCCGTCTCTCCCCGTGTCTCTCCCCTCCGTCTCTCCCCGTGTCTCTCCCCCCCGCGTCTCCCCCGCGTCTCCCCCCCGTGTCTCTCCCCCCCGTGCCTCTCCCCGTGTCTCCCCCCTCGTCTCCCCCCGTCTCCCCCCACGTCTCCCCCGCGTCTCTCCCCCCCGTGTCTCTCTCCCCGCGTCTCTCCCCCCCGTGTCTCTCCCCCCCGTGTCTCTCCCCGTGTCTCTCCCCCCCGCGTCTCCCCCCGCGTCTCCCCCGCGTCTCCCCCCGCGTCTCCCCCGTGTCTCCCCCCGCGTCTCCCCGTGTCTCTCCCCCCGCGTCTCCCCGCCGTGTCTCTCCCCTCCGTGTCTCTCCCCCCCGTGTCTCTCCCCGCGTCTCCCCGTCTCTCAATCCGTGTCTCCCCATCTCTCCCTCCGTCTCTCCCCGTGTCTCTCCCCTCCGTCTCTCCCCGTGTCTCTCCCCCCCGCGTCTCCCCCGCGTCTCCCCCCCGTGTCTCTCCCCATCTCTCCCTCTGTCTCTCCCCGTGTCTCTCCCCTCCGTCTCTCCCCGTGCCTCTCCCCCCCACCGCGCCTCTCCCCCCGTGACACCGTCCCACCCCCCCCCTGCTTGTGCGTACCTTGCGCAGGGCGGGCGCCATCTTGTTGGTGAGCGTCCCGGCTACGATCATGACATCCGCCTGGCGCGGAGACGCGCGGAAAACCACGCCAAAGCGGTCCATGTCGTAGCGCGGGGCGGCCATGTGCATCATCTCCACCGCACAGCACGCCAGTCCAAACGTCATGGGCCACAGAGAGCTCTGTGGGAAATGTACACACGCACATACGTACACGCGTACACGCACACGTACACGCACACACACGCGCACGTACACACACACACGCACGTACACGCACACGTACACACACACACACGCACACGTACACACGCGTACGTACACACGCACACGTACACACACACACGTACACACACACACACACGTACACACACACACACGCACACGTACACACACACACACGTACACACGCGTACGTACACGCGCACACGTACACACGCACACGTACACACACACACGCACACACGCACGTACACACACGCACGTACACACACACGTACACACGTACACACACGTACACGCACACGTACACACACACACGTACACACACACGTACACACGCGTACGTACACGCGCACACGTACACACGCACACGTACACGTACACACACACACACGTACACACGCACGTACACACACGCACGTACACACACACGTACACACGTACACACACGTACACGCACACGTACACACACACACGTACACACACACACGTACACACACACACACACGTACACACACACACGTACACACGTACACACACGTACACGCACACGCACGTACACACACATATAAACATACACACGTACACACACACACGTACACACACACACGTACGCACACACACGTATAAACGTACACACGCACACGCACGTACACACACACACACGTACAAACGTACACACACACGTACGCTCACACACACACGTATAAACGTACACGCACACACACGTACACACACACACGTATAAACGTACACACACACGTACGTACGCACACACACGTACACACGTACGCACACACACACACGCACGTATTCAAAAAGCAGAAGACAAAGCTCCCCCGTGTAGCCTCAGCAGGCTGTAGGGGGCAAGGTGCTGCTAGCGAGCAGCGCCTATGAAGGCCGGCACTGCGGCACACGGAGGGGGGTCTGTGGGTGGCCAGCACCACCGCGCCCCGGCCGCCTTTGTCTCTCCCCGGTGGCGGTGTTTACTAACACGCACCGCGCCCGTTACTGATCCGAGGCCGAGTCGACCTAGGGGTCGGATGCCCGGGACCGGCTCCGCCAGACGGCCCCTCACAGGGGGCGGGGGGGGGCGACTTCCTCCTCCTCCTCCTCCTCTGCCATTTGAGGCGGGCGGCAAGCCTCGGCCTAGCTCGCCCGACCGCCCGCTTTGCCCCGCGATGATTTCCCCGCCCGGGGGAACGATGGCGGTCGGACAAGTCCGCGCCAAAACACCCAGCCGCACGGCAAAACCTGACCGCTCCCGCACCCCCGTTTCACAATTCATGTTTTTAATGCTTTGCGGGCGTTCGGACGGGGCAACCGGGGAGAAGAATTTGTGCTTTTGTTCGTTTCGCTACGGGGGTGGTGCCAGGGTAGACCGAGAGGAACGAATCGGAGGAGGTGCAGAGCGGTTGATGATGAGGGACAGCGTGAAACGGCGCCGGGAGTAAAACACACAACACAGACACTGAGTAGCCGGGGAGGAAGTGATTGTGTGTAGTGTATAGTGGTGTAGTGTATAGTGTAGTGTATAGTAGTGTAGTGTATAGTGTAGTGTATAGTAGTGTAGTGTATAGTAGTGTAGTGTATAGTAGTGTATAGTGGTGTAGTGTATAGTAGTGTAGTGTATAGTGTAGTGTATAGTAGTGTAGTGTATAGTAGTGTAGTGTATAGTAGTGTAGTGTATAGTAGTGTAGTGTATAGTAGTGTAGTGTATAGTAGTGTAGTGTATAGTAGTGTAGTGTATAGTAGTGTAGTGTATAGTAGTGTAGTGTATAGTGTAGTGTATAGTAGTGTAGTAGTGTATAGCAGTGTAGTGTATAGTAGTGTAGTGTATAGTGTAGTGTATAGTAGTGTAGTGTATAGTGTAGTGTATAGTGGTGTAGTGTATAGTAGTGTAGTGTATAGTAGTGTAGTGTATAGTAGTGTAGTGTATAGTAGTGTAGTGTATAGTGTAGTGTATAGCAGTGTAGTGTATAGTGTAGTGTATAGTAGTGTAGTGTATAGTGTAGTGTATAGTGGTGTAGTGTATAGTAGTGTAGTGTATAGTAGTGTAGTGTATAGTAGTGTAGTGTATAGTAGTGTAGTGTATAGTGTAGTGTATAGTAGTGTAGTGTATAGTAGTGTAGTGTATAGTGGTGTAGTGTATAGTAGTGTATAGTGTAGTGTATAGTGGTGTAGTGTATAGTGTAGTGTATAGTAGTGTAGTGTATAATAGTGTAGTGTATAGTCGTGTAGCGTATAGTGTAGTGTATAGTGGTGTAGTGTATAGTAGTGTAGTGTATAGTAGTGTAGTGTATAGTGTAGTGTATAGTAGTGTAGTGTATAGTAGTGTAGTGTATAGTAGTGTAGTGTATAGTAGTGTAGTGTATAGTAGTGTAGTGTATAGTGTAGTGTATAGTAGTGTAATGTATAGTGTAGTGTATAGTGTAGTGTATAGTGTAGTGTAGAGTAGTGTAGTAGTGTATAGTAGTGTAGTGTATAATAGTGTAGTGTATAGTAGTGTAGTGTATAGTAGTGTAGTGTATAGCAGTGTAGTGTATAGTAGTGTATAGTGTAGTGTATAGTAGTGTAGTGTATAGTGTAGTGTATAGTGTAGTGTATAGTAGTGTAGTGTATAGTGCAGTATAGTAGTGTAGTGTATAGTATAGTAGTGTATAGTGTAGTGTATAGTATAGTATAGTAGTGGTGTAGTGTATAGTAGTGTAGTGTATAGTGTAGTATAGTAGTGTAGTAGTGTGTAGTAGTGTAGTGTATAGTAGTGTAGTGTATAGTAGTGTATAGTGTATAGTAGTGTATAGTGTAGTGTATAGTAGTATAGTAGTGTAGTATAGTAGTGTAGTAGTGTGTAGTAGTGCAGTGTATAGTAGTGTAGTGTATAGTAGTGTAGTGTATAGTAGTGTATAGTGTAGTGTATAGTGTAGTGTATAGTGTAGTGTATAGTGTATAGTAGTGTATAGTGTAGTGTATAGTAGTATAGTAGTGTAGTGTATAGTAGTGTATAGTGTAGTGTATAGTAGTGTAGTGTATAGTGTAGTGTATAGTGTAGTGTATAGTATAGTAGTATAGTAGTGTAGTGTATAGTAGTATAGTCTATAGTGTAGTGTATAGTGTAGTGTATAGTAGTGTAGTGTATAGTAGTGTAGTGTATAGTAGTGTAGTGTATAGTAGTGTAGTGTATAGTGTAGTGTATAGTAGTGTAGTGTATAGTAGTGAAGTGTATAGTGGTGTAGTGTATAGTAGTGTATAGTGTAGTGTATAGTGGTGTAGTGTATAGTGTAGTGTATAGTAGTGTAGTGTATAATAGTGTAGTGTATAGTCGTGTAGCGTATAGTGTAGTGTATAGTGGTGTAGTGTATAGTAGTGTAGTGTATAGTAGTGTAGTGTATAGTGTAGTGTATAGTAGTGTAGTGTATAGTAGTGTAGTGTATAGTAGTGTAGTGTATAGTAGTGTAGTGTATAGTAGTGTAGTGTATAGTAGTAGTGTATAGTGTAGTGTATAGTAGTGTAATGTATAGTGTAGTGTATAGTGTAGTGTATAGTGTAGTGTAGAGTAGTGTAGTAGTGTATAGTAGTGTAGTGTATAATAGTGTAGTGTATAGTAGTGTAGTGTATAGTAGTGTAGTGTATAGCAGTGTAGTGTATAGTAGTGTATAGTGTAGTGTATAGTAGTGTAGTGTATAGTGTAGTGTATAGTGTAGTGTATAGTAGTGTAGTGTATAGTGCAGTATAGTAGTGTAGTGTATAGTATAGTAGTGTATAGTGTAGTGTATAGTATAGTATAGTAGTGGTGTAGTGTATAGTAGTGTAGTGTATAGTGTAGTATAGTAGTGTAGTAGTGTGTAGTAGTGTAGTGTATAGTAGTGTAGTGTATAGTAGTGTATAGTGTATAGTAGTGTATAGTGTAGTGTATAGTAGTATAGTAGTGTAGTATAGTAGTGTAGTAGTGTGTAGTAGTGCAGTGTATAGTAGTGTAGTGTATAGTAGTGTAGTGTATAGTAGTGTATAGTGTAGTGTATAGTGTAGTGTATAGTGTAGTGTATAGTGTATAGTAGTGTATAGTGTAGTGTATAGTAGTATAGTAGTGTAGTGTATAGTAGTGTATAGTGTAGTGTATAGTAGTGTAGTGTATAGTGTAGTGTATAGTGTAGTGTATAGTATAGTAGTATAGTAGTGTAGTGTATAGTAGTATAGTCTATAGTGTAGTGTATAGTGTAGTGTATAGTAGTGTAGTGTATAGTGTAGTGTATAGTAGTGTAGTGTATAGTGTATAGTAGTGTATAGTGTAGTGTATAGTAGTATAGTAGTGTAGTGTATAGTAGTGTATAGTGTAGTGTATAGTAGTGTAGTGTATAGTGTAGGGTATAGTGTAGTATAGTGTAGTGTATAGTGTAGTATAGTAGTATAGTAGTGTAGTGTATAGTGTATAGTAGTGTATAGTGTAGTGTATAGTAGTATAGTAGTGTAGTGTATAGTAGTGTATAGTGTAGTGTATAGTGTAGTGTATAGTGTAGTGTATAGTGCAGTGTATAGTGTAGGGTATAGTGTAGTATAGTAGTATAGTAGTGTAGTGTATAGTAGTGTAGTGTATAGTGTAGTGTATAGTGTAGTGTATAGTGTAGTGTATAGTAGTGTAGTGTATAGTGTAGTGTATAGTAGTGTATAGTGTAGTAGCGAGTTGTTGAGTGGCACACCCTGCGGGCCCAGTTAACGAGGTCGTCCAGCTTAGTCACCACACTACTATACTAGTGTGTAGTAGTGTATAGTGTAGTGTAGTGTATAGTGTAGTGTATAGTGTAGTGCGTAGTGTATAGTGTAGTGTATAGTGTAGTGTATAGTGTAGTGTGTAGTAGTGTATAGTGTATAGTAGTGTAGTGTATAGTGTAGTGCAGTAGCAAGTTGGTGAGTGGCCCACCCTGCGGGCCCAGTTAACGAGGTCGTCCAGCTTAGTCACCACA